AAGCGCAGCGGCGCTCCCGCCAAGGGTTCGGATCCCACATACAGACCGGTTCCCACTCACTGGCTGAGCGAGGTGCGGGCGCAGCGCCGAGGGTTGCGATCCCGTTGCCGGTCCCGGTCCGGTACGGGCGCGACACTGAGGGTTGCGATCTGTTGCCAGACACGAAAAAAAAAAAAAAAAAGACAAAAAAAAACCAAAATGCAAACAAGAAAGAGAAAGAAGCTAAATCATGTCACCTCAAAAATCTGACTAACACCAACGATGAAAAATAAAAGGGGAAGAAAGTGACAAATGATGTTTAAAACATCTAAACCAAAAGCAATATAATGACAGGAGTAAAGCAATAGTTATCAACAACAACCCTAAATGTAAATGGATTAAACTTCCTATTCAAAAGACACAGACTGACTGATCAGACTAAAAAGCTAGACCCAATTATATGCTGTCTTCAAGAGACCCACTTCACCTATAAAGATACAGAGACAAACACAGACTAAAAGTGAAGGGATAGCAAAAGATACACCAGGTAAACAGAAACCACAAATGAGCAGGGGTAGCTATTTTTATACCAGATAAAATAGACTTCAAACCAAAAACCGTAAAAAGAGACAAAGAAGGCCATTAGATAATGATGAAGGGATCTATCCAGTCAGAGGACATAACAATCATAAATACATATGCACCCAACAGTGGAGCACCTAGATATGTAAAGCAAACACTCTTAGACCTAAAAAAAAGAGATAGACCCAAATACAATAATAGTGGGTGAACTGAACACCCCTCTCTCAGCATCAGACAGATCTCTCAGGCAACAAATCAGCAAAGAAACATAGGATATAAACTACCCCTTAGACCAGTTGGACCTGGCAGACATCTACAGAACATCTCATCCAACAACTACAGAATATACATTCTTCTCATCAGCACATGGAACATTCTACAGGACAGACCACATACTAGGTCAAAAATCAAGTCTTAGCAAATTTTAAAAAACTGAAATCATCCCAAGTATCTTTTCAGACCACAATGGATTAAAACTGGAAACCGATCACAAGCAAAATACTGTAAACTACTCAAGTACATGCAAACTGAACAACAGACTCCTGAATGACCTATGGGAAGAAATTAAACAGGAAATCAAAAAATTTCTTGAAACTAATGAAAATAAAGATACATCATACCAAAACTTGTGGGATACGTAAAAGCAATACTAAGAGGGAAGTTTACTGCAATAAACTCTTACATCAAAAGAATGGAAAGATTTCAAATAAATGATCTAACATTATACCTCAAAGAACTAGAAAAACAACAATAATCCAATCCCAAAAGTAGTAGACAGAAAGAAATAATCAAGGTCAAGGCAGAACTAAATGAAACAGAGACCCAAAAAACAATACGAAAGATCAATAAAACAAAAAGTTAGGTTTTTGAGAATAAATAAATAAATAAATAAAATAGACATACTATTAGCTAGGTTAACAAAAAAAAGAAGACAGAGGGCCGGCCCGGTGGCGCACTGGATAGTGCGCCGCTTGGGAAGCGCGGCGGCGCTCCCGCCCGAGGGTTCGGATCCCACATACAGACCGGTTCCCGCTCACTGGCTGAGCGAGGCGCAGGAGCAACGCCGAGGGTTGCGATCCCGTTGCCGGTCCCCGGTCCGGAATGGGGGCAAGACTGAGGGGTGCGATCCGCTGCCAGACGCGGAAAAAGACTAAAG